AAAAATTAAAATTTGCAAAATTAAAATTCAAACGCAAAATGATCAAAACCGACTCAGTTGGTGCATTTCATAAAGTCCACCCAACCAAACGGTTGTAGTGGATTAAAATGTTAACCGGACCCCGTCCGGGAGAAAGAGAAATTGTTAGTTAACCCGACTCCTTAGCCGGTAAATACAAATATACTCGGCACGCAGGCCGGAAAAAATAAGTTTTGGCATACTGCCGCTGAATAAATAAAAGAAAAAGATAAAAACAAAGATTGGCATACTGCCGCTGAATGGTCACTTCTTGCCTGCAGACGGTGCCTCCTGGTCCCCCTCCTCATCATCTGAAGGTATCTCCTATGCTTCACCCGGACCAGGTAGCTAAGGCGCAGACGGCTCGTTGTTGGAGTTGACCTAGGCTTCGAAAGAGTCAGGCTCTGGCTCACCTTGCTCTCTCAGGTACACCACGTACTCGGCATAGCTGTGCGCCAGTGCCCAGACGCTGTAATCTGCGTTTGGGTACAAGGCAGCCCAAGCGATCTTCATACGGGCGTCATTGTCAGCGTCACTCTCAGCAACAAGGCGGTTTTGCTCCGCCTCCAGGGTTGCTGCAAAGTTCTTCTGAGCCTGAGCAGCCTCTTTCTCTAGTTTTTTAACCTTGGCCTTCAGGTTGGTGTTCTCTTCAGAAACACCCTGAAGTATGCCAAGGTCCGTCTGGGCCTTCTTGAACGCCTCATCAGCCTTTTTGGCGCTCTCATCCGCCTCCTTCCGGGCCGTCTCAGCATCAGTCGCCCGCTGTTTGGCCGTCTCCAGATCCGACTCCAGCTGCTGGATTCTAGACGCCTGTGTCATAATGATTGCTTTAGTTTCAAGTTCATTTACGATAGTCGAGTGTAAAGCAATATTATCAGCGTCTATGGCGGACTTCTTGGCCCTTTTTACCTCTTCCCGTTTGCGGGAATAAGGACGTTTGAGCCCGTCCACCCGCAGCATGGCCTGCAAAAAGCAGGCGGTATAAGTATTGCAGGCAGGATAAAACACTTGGAAAGAAATAAAATTGACAAGTTTCTTACCTCAGCCAGAAGGGATAGAATGCGTTCCAGATTGAACGTCTCTATCCCAGGGATACTGTCTTTATCTCTCTTCCGGACGGCTTCCAACATGGCCTTGGCATGCTTCTGGACGTCTGGCCAGCGGGGAGATTGATCCGCACCACAATCAATACGTGATGAGTGCGAAACTAAGGCGACACCTATCTGTTGCCGACCATCTGAAGATGACGTCTGTTGGGAGTGGGATTTCACTCACAAAGGCCACCCCAGCTCGGGCGGGGATTCAAAAGGGTTCTTACCTTCAGAGCCGACCAAGCGGGAACCGCTTGCAGGCGCAGTGAACCCCCCGGTTGCTGATAAGGGGTTGACGAGATCGAGGCACAAGCTGCCGCCTACCTTCTCGTTTCGCCCCGCTATCCGCATCTGCTGATGCCCGGCTGAGGCGCCAGGAGTTAACGCGGAGGTGGATTTTTTTATTTTGTTGAGGACGGAGGGGGTCTCCTCCCTAGCCCGTTTGAGTTGTTTCTCAAACGTCTTTTCAACCTCTCCTCCCTGCGAAAATAACCAAGTTAAAGTTAGCATCCGGGAAAAATAATTTTTAAGACCAATTTGCGAAACGGTCAGGCGTTTATTACCTTGGCTTTGACCTCAGCCGCAGCTTTTTCCGCAAGCTCCTTGCGGATGACTACAGAGGACCGCTTGGGAGTTTTCTCCATCTGCAACATGTTTAATGCTTCTTCTGCAAAAAGAAAGAAATTGGTCAATATCATAAATCAATTTCGATAGAAAAATACTACAGACGGATATAAACTCAGGCGCATACGTTTGGTAAACATGTGCCCTAGCCCGCAGGCGGCTAGGAAACACTCGTCCCTGAACCAGGCGCTCTTGGGGATCCAGTTCTTGGGGAATTTTATTGTTTCCCCAGTTGACAAGGTCGCGTCTGTGAGGCCAAAAAAGTCTGCCTCAATGATCTTGTCAAAATCTTCCTCTGGGATCCGGGGAAGAGTGTACTTCCGGCCCATCAAGTCGGGCTTCTTATTATACAGACGAAATTCATAATTCTCCCGTCTGGTTGGAGCTGACATCAGGTAGAACCTGTGCTTCCAGCCGTCGAATTTCTAGACCTTGTCCAAGGTCATCATATATTGGGGATGCGTGGTTAGAGTGTACCACGCCCTCCAGCCGCCTGGGCTTCTGCTAAGATAATGCATACTAGCAAAAGCCTCCCAGCCGGGGTTAAGCCCCTGGAACTCGCAGGCGGCAACATACCCCAGAATGTTTGTCCAAGAGTTGGGGGTAAGTTGCCAGACTCCGAGGCCGTAGCCTCTCAAAATTGCCTTCACCGCCTGGTGAAGGGGGAAGTGAAAACCAGCCTTGAACGCCGCCTCATAACAGCCGAAATAGCTGTTGGCGTTCTCTTGATCGTCCTCCCAGGCGATGGTGCCATTCTCAGGCGGCACCCGGATCCTATACCCGTCTCCAAGCGGGTGCATTTGAGTAAAATTCTTTAAGTTTTCCTCCATTTGGATCTGGTCCTTGGAGGAGACATGAATGTTTAAGGGATCGTCCTTCTCATTCCATTTTTTCCTTTCTTCCTCCTCGCTATCCGCAATCTGGGGTAAATCGTCACTGCTCTCAGAGGTAGAGGCGAAGCTGTCGCTCTCCGTCTCCTCCTCATTTTGGGTCAAGGGGGCAGAGACGGCCTCATCGTCGCATTGGTCACACTCTTCCAAAAAGGAATCAGCGGGAGTTGAAGGGGCGCCCGGAGGGGATCTCTCCAAAGTCGTCTGGTCTCCCCGACCAGACGTTTCTCCCTCAAGCGTTTGGCCGCCTGAGCCTTCGCTTCTGTAATTTGGATCAGTAGCCGTCTGCATTGTCCGAGCCATTGTGTCCTACACAGACACATAACTGGTCGGAATCCAAGGCAAAGGGTGGTCCCAACACCTCGAGACGGCACTCCCAGTCCTAGACTCAGCCGTCCCAGGTGACCGGCTGGACTCTAACCTAGGTTGTGCCGTGTGTGTTGGTGATGCATCCATTTATTGCAAGAAATATGTACAAGCGATGAAAAAAGAAAAGAGCTGAGAGAGGCAGAGACGGTACCTTTTGAAGTGATATCTGAAACCAGGCGGGTCCGGCTGGGTCGGTAGAAAACGAGCTCTCTTGCTTGCGCCTGACTCAAACGGATGACTTCTGCTCTCTCAAAGTTCTTTCTCTAGAAATTTTTTTGTAAACGTACAAAATTATGAGGGTAAACGGCTATATATAGAGGGTAAATACGGGGGCATTCTCGTAATTTACTCGGAAGGTGAACGGTTACTCTGTAATGGTAAAATTACCACCAATCGGAGCGTGACATGTGTCACAGATGCCATGTGGCGTGCCACGTCACATCTGTGAGGGGCAAATGTTTAGGGTAATTTTACCCTGCCACGTGGTCCAATCAGAGGGTGACACGTGTCAGTCTCAGGATGGCCCAAAGTGGACCAATCCCTGATTGACACATGTCATTCCGGAAATTAAGGGAAAAAAGGCGGCCTTCAGGCCCAAATCCCGAGAAAGCCGCAATGCGGCGCAACCCACCAATGATTAGGGATCAATGACCTAATCAGGTGCACAAATCCCGAGGACCCTTTAAATAGGGGGATTTCCCTCTTTTGGGGGGACATTTTTCATTTATTATTACACTGTCCCTGTGATAGAGACATCTGAGCTTGGAAATTCGAGCAGATACCCACCTTAATTTCCGTACTCTTTATTCCTTTTCAAGTTACTAACTTGACCGTCGGAGGCGGAGCTCCAACCACTCGGAGTATCCGTTATTTTGCAGGTGCAGCTCAAGCCGGATCAGTCTTCGTGTTGTAACTCTCCCGAGGGACAAAAACACCCAAAACAGTTACGGTGCATACATTCTTAGTCGTTGTTGCATTAGAGCTAGTTCTAAAAATTCAGAACTTGGAACTAGTCCCAGTTCTAACCGGGTCCATATTTTTGGAATTGGTCTTGGATCCAGTGTAACCAATTTTGGGTCCGGGCCCACTGGGTCTAAACCAGTTCCAATTCTGGAACCGGGTACTCAAATTTTTGCTCACCCCTAGCACCGGGGAGTTGCGATATGAAGCTGGGCATTCGACGGTTAGTCATTGAAGGAAATGTATAATCGTGTGTTGGAAGTGCTATCTGAATTTCTTCCGCATAAAGTAAGGTGTACATTATACCCAATGAAGCAAAGGGAAGTGATAGAACTATTGGTTTAAGAAATGCTTGATAAAGGCATCATTCAAAACATTTCTAGCTCTTCTTCTTCTCCATTGATGTTAGTAGGCAAGATTCGCAAGAAGGATAGAACCTTAAGGTTTATTGTGGACTGGTGGATAAATAAAAAGAACAAGTATCATGAACAATTAATGAACTATTGGGAGTTGGGTGCGGATTTTAAGGTGTACCCACCCCCTCCTCACTCTGTCTCTTATTGTTTGCTCTATTTTATTTTATTTATGATCTTTAAAAAATATATTGGACCATTAATATTTATAATTATGTACTATAAGTAAATATTATTAAAGATAATAGCTAGATTGAAATTGATGTTCAAATGAATCTAATAACATTATTGATTATGTTTTTTTCTCGTCGGAGTATATTAAAAATTCACTAATGACAATTCTATTCTATGAAATGGAGCAAATAACAAAATTATTAAGTTTAGTACCGAGTAAGTGCTAACTAGTAAGGGTTTATAAATTTAGTAGGTGGTAAGGGGTAAGATTATGTGTTATTCATCTAATTTTCACTTATCTGAAATTATCTAGACTTCTATGAACGAAGTAGCCTTTATTAAAACTTATCTTAGTTATAATAATTTGAACTCGATTAACCTTTGTCAACCCTTATTAAAACTTATTTCTTCACAATTAATTTTTCAATATAAATTTTTCCTAATAAAATAAGTGGAAATAAGGTGACAAAACATGTCATAATATCATATCTATCCAATTTAAAACATTTTAAATTACAACTAAAATAAATACTAATAACATTTTAATACGTTCAAACAAGGTAAAGATAAATTAAAATAGGAAAAAGATATATAAGGGCTGCATATAAGAACCTAAAAAATAAAAGAATTGATAATTAATAAATATTTATAACACCGATTTACTCGTAAATTGTCGATAATTTCCCAACTTAATACTAAAAAAGGAAGTATATTAAATGCTTATATGCAGCCCTAAGGACTGCATATAGCATTACCCATTAAAATAAATTAAAATAAGTAAAAATCAAGTGAACATAACATATATGATGATTGATATGAGCATGCGGCTAGCCGGCTATAGTCGTTACCAAGTCCACGACAAATCTAACCTTACAAAATATAAAAAAACACAAAATGGCGCCATTTCCAAACCTTTTAAACTTCTAACCAAATAAAAACCTGAAAACTAAACACATTTTTTAACGTTTTAAAAATTCCGCGCTATTTTAATTTTTCAACCGCAAAACTCAAAAGTCAAAACCCACCATTTTAATTTTCCCGGACTTCTTCTTTATTTCCCCCCTTTTTTTTCCTTTCAATTCATTTTCAATCCCTCTAAAATCATAACACCCCCAAATCCTTTCAATAAACTTCCCTAATTTCACAATTTTCTTTGCTAATTTCTCTCAATCTTCTTCTCTCTCTTCTAAAAATGGATGCAAATTTCAATTCTTTACCTCCATTAAAGCGATTCAGGCTGCTGCAACAACAAGAACAGCAGCAGCAGCAACAGCTCTGTCAACCGGAGCCGAAACCCGAATCGGAACCAAAACTAAAAGCGAAAGCTTTACCATTGTCACCCTCTAATCTCCCAGCTAAAAAGAGAAAATATGCCCGAGATTCATTTTTTGATTTCAATGATGAGAAAGAAAATATTCCCCCTTCAATTACAATTACCCCTCCTACACCTTACTGTTTACCTGCCAAGAAAAGGATTTGGGCTTTTAAGCCCGAATTCAGCCCGGTTAAGTCTCCTCCTCCTTCTCTTGCTCTACCCATTGATCTGAATCTTGAGTATGACCCATCTGTTGAATCTAAAATGGAGGATGATGGTGGAGAAGAGGAATCAAATCGAGTCGAAATCAAAGTAGAGGGTGATGGTGAAGAGGAGGAGGAGAAAGAAGAGGAAGCCGAGGACGATGATGGGATTTTATGCGCCGTATGTGAGAGCACAGATGGTGATCCATCAGATCCGATTGTGTTCTGTGATGGGTGTCACCTTATGGTTCATTCCAGCTGTTACGGAAACCCTCTCGTCAAGGGTATTCCCGAGGGGGAATGGTTCTGTGCTCAGTGCTCGAACTCAAACTCACGACCTTTGGCTCACAAGTGCTGCCTTTGTCCTGTCACTAAGGGTGCTATGAAGCCTACGAGTGATGGGCGTTGGGCTCACATCGTGTGCGCGTTGCTAGTCCCGGAGGTTTTCTTTGAGGACCCTGAAGGCCGGGATGGGATCGATTGCTCGAAGATTCCTAAGAAGAGGTGGAGGGATAGGTGTTACCTGTGTAAACAGACCAAAGGGTGTGCTATTGAGTGTTCTGAGCCTAAGTGTCCGTTGGCGTTTCATGTGACTTGTGGATTGCAGGAAGATCTTACTATTGAGCTTAAAGAAGGGAAGAATACTGGTGGGATTGTTGCTGGGTTCTGCAAAAAACATACTGAGCTATGGAAAAAGGTAACCATTTTAACACAATTATCTATTGTACCGTTATATAATGTTATTAAGAGGTATAAATGTTGATTGATGTGGTTTCGTTTTGTTTGATTTTCTTTGTTGTAGCAAAAACAAACAGGAAAGTTCAAGATTGTTGCCAGAGATGAGGGGTAAAATTTCTGACAGTTTGGAATTGGTAGAGAGATGCTGATTTCTAAGTTTAGCAAATACAGTACTAGTTTTTTGTTTAGTTTTCTTGGTTATTGGTATAAGGGATCAATTGACTTTAGATAGATACTGACCTTCAAGTGAATGTGATCCGAAATACATGCTAATGGTTTTTTTCTTTTTTTGTTTACTTTGTATATTCAGTGACAGTAGTATGTGACTGTCATCGAACAATTGCATGATTTGCATCTGCGATTCAAAGAGAGTATAAAAAGATGTTCATTCTATGTTTACATCAATTGGATGTGAATTCATATTTAGTCCTTCAATAATTAAGCAACAATACTGATTGTTGAACAATGTTATTATTCTACATTTCGCACTGCCTCTATTCAAATCAATTCACCAGTTTGCCTGCAAGTTAAAGAATGATCTTTAACACGATGCTGACAAGGTTATATAGCAGTCGTTGAAGCTAACATTCCTAAGCCCTAATAATGAGATGTGGCACAGGTATACAGAAATTTAGTAAGAGTATTTCACAGTTTTAATGCCGAATTCAGTAAGAATATGGTGCAAAGCAAACAAAACTAAACGCCATTTTCTTCATGTATATTGTAGTGAACTGCCTCTCGGCATTTGGAGAGTTAATTACAAATTAAGGAATCGTATCTGAATCATTTTATGTGGAAGGGGTTCTTTTCTTTCTTTTTTCTGTATGCATTTAACCTTCTTAAAGGAAGAAAACATAGGGTTTAAATGAATTAAAACACGAGATACAACACGACTCTTCTCAAATTTTGATAACTTTATTTATTTACTTGTACTAACTTACTAAGTGTCTATAACAAAGCAGGAAATATTAGCTAAAAAGGATCTAGCATCTACTGAAATCGTACAGCTCAAATGATGTTGACACACTACATAATTCCGGCATAATTAACAATCCATGGAAAGGGAGGTCATAAAACCTCAACCTTCTTGGATAGACAGCCCCAGCACAATGCCCATTAATACAAAGGTAAGACCAAAGCCCACTTGTTAGCATTATTCATGACATTCCATACTGAACAGTACCCACATTTCGATGAGCTGACATTGCTACAGCTGTAGCACTAAACTGCGACTGAGCTTGCATTATCTTTGCATCAAGGGCTACTCTGCTACTATATTGGTCCGACTTGGGTTGAGGGTGATGATAAGGGTTAGTGTTGATGTCAATAGTAACTTCATGGGTTGGCTGTACAGGCAGCTGTTGCTGTTTAGCCCATGAAACGTGGCCTTGTTCGTTTCCAGCCCCAAGACCTGGCTTGGATTGGGCTGGCTGGATGTTGGGCCTGATGTAATACTGTGGTGAGGCTGTCTGTGGTGGTAATACTGCATTTTGCATAGATACTCTAGCCTCGTAGCCATCCTTCATGCTTCTGCCAGACTCGTATGCAACAACAGGTCCTACAACTCTTCCTGGTCTTGCTGCTGAAAACACAAGACAAAAACATAATAGAGGGTTCAATAATATGATATGGCAAGTGACAACAGCCTAACCTCATTCCATTCATATAAAAAAGCACTACATTTTCAGCCTTACCCTCTGACCCTATATCTCAAGGTCACATTTGATTGACTGTTATTTTAACTATTTGAGCTGTGTTAAAAATAATCAATAATATAAAATAAATTGTAACTTCACTATTAAAATTTTCAACACCTTATTAGTCTATCCTTAGAATTTTAGTTCACACTGTCATACATTTACCTTGCTAGTTGGCTTAATAGCAATTTACGATGGAAAGATGGCCAATAAGAAAGTCAAGCAGCTTCATGAACTCATTTATTTTCCTTCCCACTTTTAGGGAACTAAATAAGAACTCGATGTGCACAATAAGGACACCAAATCTAACATGAGACAGCATGCCAATTTAGATCAAATCACTAACTATTAACTAAAGGTAGAAACATCCATTAGGCACACAAGATCAATTTTTAAGTCCCTGTTCAATATCTCCTCTGATGACATCAGAACAATGCTACTGACAGATAACAGACAATAAAAGAGCTACCATCAACATTCCGTAGATGCATGAAATACCTGGTGGGACTCTTGGTGGCTGTCTTATAGAGCTTGATAAATTTCCATAACTTTCTGATGGTCTCATCTCCTCTTTAGCTTGATGGTCCTTGTGTGAAGATGCCAATGGCTTGGGAGGTATGGTACTAGAGTGTACCGTGGACCTGAAAGATGACGAGGTCAGGAACATGTAATATGTATTCATCAAACGTCACCAAGGGAAGAGAGCTATAGCTATACCTTGGAAGGGAAACATGTTTTCTCTCTAAAGGGATGACTGGTCCACTTCGACCAGCACTTTCTTCAAGATGCGCAAACTGCTTTTTAAACTGACCTATAGCACTGCATATGTAAACCAGCTGATAGATAAGCAATAGCGTAAACGTCATTGCTAAGAATAGAAACCAGAACAATAGTCAGGATCATCTCACCTAGGATAGATATAATTACTCCCTTCATTTCCATTCATGTAGTCTTTGAGCAACTGAGGATGGTATTCTAGGATCTCTCGGTAAATCAGTTCCCTAACATCATCCTTAGTCACCCTTCGCCTCTCAAACTCAAACTCTAATTTTGAGATTGGCTGGCATGCAGGCTCTCTCTCAACTCTGGATAGGCCTTTAAAGTATGGATCGGCTAGTGCCTGATAGAAAACAGATTCTCAATATCAACAGAAATATAAATATTGTGATTTTAAGTTTACAAAGAGTTTAGGACACAACTTGAATGCAAATAGTAGGATATTCTAATCAAATACTCTACAAACAATTTATTTTACAGTGAAACAGAAAACTAAGGTCCGGTCATAGTACCAACCTCTTCAGCAGTTGGTCTGTCCTTTGGATCAAAAGATAACAATCTTTGTAGCAAACGCAATGCTAAGGGATCCGCATTTGAAAATTTATGAGAGAAAGGAACAGGCTGCTTTTTCCTCATATCGGTCAAGTATTTGCGAGCCTTGTCGTTGCGGACCTGAATTCGCATAAAATTTTAGGATCATGACATTATTTATGTATAGAACAAAAACATGGTTAATCACATTGAAGATGCAATAGAAAACCATACCCCAGATATAACATCATGTGATGGCGTACCCAGAAGATCTGTGATTATATCCAACTGGTGAACCACGCTTTTACCCGGAAACAACGGTTTTCCAGTCAATACCTCAGCAAAGATGCAGCCAATGCTCCAAATATCTATGGCTGGAGTATACTGCACAAGGCAAGGTCAATAGTCAGACCAAATATCAAAATTAACACATGTGACTCCAAGCAAACAGCTTCAGTAATCGATCACAAGACTAGACACTATTACCTGAAGGACAAGTTAATATCAACTTCCAGGTGAGATCAATAATCCTCCCTGAACAAGAATTATTTTGATCTACATATTACTATTACTTTAAAATACTAAGAATACAATTATAATATTGAAATGCAGCATACATTAAAATACAATTCATAACTGACGCAAGTTTTTTAAGCCTGAGTGGTTTCAAAACAAATACTTTAGCATGGACAAAAGATCAGAGACTTAATTAATAACAGAATGATAAAACAGGCGAAAGGTGAACAGGCAGCATTTAATCATTTATACCCCCACTAATCTAAGATAGGTTGCTCTATATTACAAGCTGTCACTGAATTTGGGATTAACATTTGTCTTCAAATATTTTACAGTATTATATTATAATACGAGTAACCGTAAAATGTAACCTATATAGGTGCACCTAAAACATACATGATATTTGGTAACGTTGCCCTTTTCCCTTATGGTGTTAAATAAAACAATTGACTAAGTCTATTAACCCATACTGGTATTTTGGTAAACAAATCAAGAAATTAGCTTTCAGGGAAAACTAAGCTTAATACCTCACCCCATGGAATCCTCTTCATCTTATTAATTATCCGGATTAGTTTAAGACATTTAATTTTCTAACAGATCATATGAGCTGGATAACATTACAAAGATGAGGTAATTTAAGAAAAATAAACAACAAAGGTTAATTTTTAGTTTGAAAATGTAATATATTTAATAACTCATTATCCTACAGGGTAAAACCAGCAAACACTACTAAGAACTTTCTTTCTCAAAATCCTAAAATCAAGCAACGAGGAAAAGAGAATGAAACTAGATGGTTTCCAAACTTATATAGGTCATGTATTCATCGACTATCATACTACCTTGTTCATCCCTACAAAGGCTTACCGGCTAATCTACTAACACAAGTATGACACTACTACACTGTAGGTAGAATGCGAAAAAACACTCAAATAAAACAATTGCTACAAGTTAATATTTATACATCAGCGGAGACCGCAAATCGGACATTAAGTTCAAAGGACACAATGTCAATACAAATATACACTAAAGGAATCAGGATAGAAGAATGAAATGAGTTGTATAAGAAACTAAGCAATCACAAATTTCCATTTTTATCATCTTGTATGATAAGCACACATACCTTAGAGAAAAATGATCCACAAAGTTCTGGCGCCCTATACCATCTTGTAGCAACATAATCCTGTAAATTGCACAGACGAGCACACAGCAAATGGACTATCAGCAAAAATGAGAGGGATTTCAATCACCAACAAAAGTAAATAAGACTGTCTTAGTACCGTCCAAAATATAGTTGTAGGAGTGTCATTGAATGCTACTCTAGCCAGACCAAAGTCGCAAATTTTGAGTTTGCAATTGGCATTAGCCAGTATGTTCTTGGGCTTAAGATCTCGATGGTAGACATTAGCTGCAACAATCAAATACAAGTGAATATACTCATAATCATGCTCACAAAAAGCTATTAAGAAATGTTAACAAAGAAACAGATGCAATCACAAGCAAGAGAGAAGAAGTCAAACTAAGAAGAAAATGCTATTAAAATTACCACAATTTCACGTATTTATTTTAGAACTAGATAAAATAATACTTCGTACCTGTATGCATGTATTTTAGAGCACGCAACATTTGATAGAGGAAAAACTGATGGTGTTCACGGGTCAAGTCATCATTAGCTTTGATGACTTGATGAAGATCAGACTCCATAAGCTCAAAGACAACATAAATATCTCTGAAATCTCTCTTAGATGGTGGCAACATAATACGTTTGATCTCAACTATATCAGGATGCCGCAAAAGCCTCAACAACTTTACTTCTCGCAGGATTCGGATAGCATCAGAGATATGCTCATAGATATCATTTATCTTTTTAATGGCCACCTTTTCCCCTGTATGTGTATCAATAGCAGCGCAAACAACTCCATAGCTTCCCTTTCCAATAACTTCAAGAATTTTATATCTGTTAGCTTCACCATAGTCAGTGAAGAATTCTGGTTCTTTTACAGCCTGCTAATGATCGTACATAAATTAGTTAGACGGAAATGCCAGGAGAAAGCAAAAGATATTGAAAAAACTATCATCCACACACCATGCAGCAGAAAAAGGCGATGAACACAAATTCCACACATATGTTTTGTCTTTCACATCATAAAATCTACTGTCAACCTAATTAGCCCCACCCTTTCCAGGAGTACATTATTATATAATTCCAGCATATATGTATTGTGCCCAAAGAGACTTTCTGAATTGAATCTAGAACATTGCATTAATGTTTGCCAAAAAAAATTATCAGCAGATATCAAGCAAGCACACTGTCTTATATTTGAAAGCAATTTTCTAGCACAGCCAATAATGTAATAAGCATTTTCTTATTTGACAAGAATTCGCTCAAAAGATGTTACAAACTTTCTCATTCCAAACAGAACAGAGTGGAAAGATTCATAATCCCACGCCTTTGCCTTTCTTGTTAAAAATGATGTTAGTTCCACCTCACCACCCCACCCCCCTCTATCCCGAAACGAATAATGTAATAAGCATTTTCTTATTTGACAAGAATTCTCTCAGAAGATGTTAAAAACTTTCTCATTCCAAACAGAACGGAGTGGAAAGATTCAAAATCCCACGCCTTTGCCCTTCTTGTTCAAAATGATGTTAGTTCCACCTCACCACCCCACCCCCCTCTATCCCGAAACGAATAATGTAATAAGCATTTTCTTATTTGACAAGAATTCTCTCAGAAGATGTTAAAAACTTTCTCATTCCAAACAGAACGGAGTGGAAAGATTCATAATCCCACGCCTTTGCCCTTCTTGTTCAAAATGATGTTAGTTCCACCTCACCACCCCACCCCCCTCTATCCCAAAACGAATGTTGGGCACATGTTGTTGATAATTATGAAGTCAAACAACCATTTTCTTATGTGCAAACTTTACAAGGACAAATCAACTCATAACAACCATTTTCTAATGTACAAAACTTTACAAGGACAAATCAACTCATCACAACCATTTTCTTATGTGCAGAACTTTACACGGACATATCAACTCATTAGTAACAGCCATACAGAAAATGCAGACATCAGTCGAATTGATCTGATAATAGAACCATTCATGGCAATCACTCCAATAATGAAGCCCAGTTAAAGTATGCCAAATGACATTTTTCAGATCATGAAACCCCCCATACTCATCCTCATCCACAACCAAACCAAACCAAACAGATAAGAATTTCAGTTCATATTAGTCCCCTAAAAAGAGCAACACCGACACCGAAACACTTGGAACAAAATCAAGTTTTTAGTACAAAATCAGTAAACCAAAACTAATTGATAAAAATCCAAAACCATAATATCCAAACAGGAAAAACAGGAAATATCTTTTGTTTGTACAAAGGTCAAAATGTCATAACAAGAAAAAGTAATACGTGCCATTGATTTGATAAACACACTATTGACTTTGATTCTCTAACTTCCTGCCAAACATGCCCTGAACTCACTCTTCCTCCACCGACAATTATATTCCCACCAACATAGCATACATCATCATCCCTAAAATAATTATTAAAAAAAAATAGCCTTCCTTTTTAATACACAAAACTAGCAATTTTAATGAAATTATGGTCGAAATATTCAAATATTTGATATTGCTACCCACCTAAATTTTAATGAAATTATGGATTTAAGTAACAAAAATTAAAATATAATAACAAATAATTTCTGGGTTTTTAAGTTTATCAGTATAAAGGTTTTCAAAAAAAAAAAGTTTCAGTAAAAAAGTTCAAAACCTAATCCAAAATTGAACTTAATTATGGATATGCTGATTAAACCCAAGTTCGAGTTCAAATCCTGTCTACACCATTGCCCGTCTACACCATTGCCCTTTACGGCCTCCATTAAGCTCAATTCAATTAACTCTCTCAGAACATGATTTCCCAGAAAACCCAATTCAAATTTAAACAAATAAATTTCAGAAATTAAATTTACTTGAACTACAACAAAGACCCAGATCACAATTTTCAATGCAATTAGGCGAATTAGCTCACTTTAATCTCACCCACCAAAATTTTTTAAAAAAATCAAAAAATCATTAGATCTCAACTTGCTTCACAAACACTCAAAATTAACGAGATCTAACCTTCTTGCGCTGATCTTGCTGCATCTTGTTGATGATCAAATTCAAGAACCCTAAAATTCAAATTTATTTTATAATAAACCCCACCAAATAAAAAAATTATTTTTCTTTTTTTCCCTTTTTAAAGTTTTCTTTTTGGGTTTCCGTTTTTCTAGCTCTCTCTCTATATCTTTCAAGAAGAAGAAATCAGCCGCATTTACCCCAGCGAGAACGACGGCGAATTAGAAGGGCAGAAGAGTCTTTTCGTAAGACCTCAACCTTTCTCATATATTTTCAAAAACCCCTCTTTCTTCTTCCTCCAACGGATCTCTGCAACAAAATTTTGACAATTTTACCCTTCAACGAAAAACAAAAGGAGAGAGAAAAATGGGGATTTTTAGTTTAATTTTTGCAGAAATAGGAGGAGAGAGAAAAATGAGAAAGGAAGATAAATGGTCAGAGATTTGAAAGAGGAAGAGAGAGATTTGTGAACAAAGATGGAAGCATCGTTTTATATCTCTGTGGCTTGGGTGTTATTTTTTTAGTATTTTTTTTTTTATTTATGGACCCTTTCCCTTTTTATAATTTACTTTCTCTATAGTTTAAATTAAATGAATACATGCTAATATACGGAATATATACTTTATTAAAAATACAAATGTAATTTAAGAATTTATTTGGAAAAATATTACTCAACCTATACTTAATTACTTATTAGAGAGTACAGAGTATGAACTATGATCAATACTTATTTGGTATTGCAAAATATTTTTCAATGCTTCATATTAGAGAGTATGAATTATATATTGTTTTTATTTGATAACAAACTTTCATATGTGGTCGATCACATTATGTGGCTAGTTATCAAGAATTATTAACTTATTACTTGATAAATATTTTAGACGCTATTCGATCAATATTACGTCCTCCGTTTTTTTATTATTGCACCATAGGGGTTAGATGCAAATATTTTGGTAGTGGAAAAAATAAGAGAGATAAAGGTAAAAATACAAAATTGCCCATGTGACATATTGATAAACTAAAAAATAAGTGTGAAAAAGCTAGGGTATCTTGGGTAGTGTGAACATAAATAATTTTTTTTCCTAAAAAGGAAATTATGCAATATTTGTGAAACTTTCTAAAAAGACAAATGGTGCAATAATAAAATAACGGAGGAAGTATTAAAGGTTACTCAATAAGAATACGGAACTTTTTTTTTAAAGAAAACATATACGGATTATTTTGCTCTTTTACAAGCGATCTCATATTATGTTTTGGTTCAATTATCATGTACTTGTATTAGTTAAGGGTTCGTTTGGCATCTTTCTGTTTTTTGGTTTTTTGTATTTTAAAAGTATATTATATATGTCACGTAATGAATCAAAAAATATTTAGACTTGTTAAAATCATGATAATTTTGAAAACTGACAACAGAAAAGTGGAAACACCTTTTTCTTGTTTCCTGTTTTTGGTTTTTAGTTTTAAAAAGAAAAAAAAAGGAAACTGAAAACTAAAAATGATGTCAAACAAACCCTAATTTTTTTTTTCTTTTTCATTTTGTAGATGTTTTCGGTGCCTTTAATCCATAAATGTATAGTTTTCAAAATATTTACTCAGTACATTATTATGTTTTGGTAAATTTAATCTATTACTCTGTATTTTTTTTTAATATAATAAGAATATTTAATGTGATGTTAATCAAGGCATTATCCAAGCTTAAAAACTAGTTTTCGATACTTTGTACACCAAATTTCGTATTAAAAGACAAAGTAATGTATAAAGTACGAGTATATATTATATGGGATTTATATTGTAGGTTGGATTGAATCTTTTAATTTGTGAATACTGTGAATTTGTCGGCTGAAAGAGGGAAGATGAATGGGTGGGTAGTTGCCAGTTGGGTGGGTGGGTTGAGAGTTTTATTTGCTTTGTGTGTATGGTGATTGCTTGAGTACGGCTCAATACCATTTCTTTTTCTTCTTTCTTTCGGTGCTCGTGCTTCTTCCGAGTTAATTTTTGGATTTTTAGTTTCTTAGATTTAGGCTATGTTCATATTTATTGAACTGAGTTGAAGTGAACTGATTGGAGCTGAAATTAACTGAAATGAACTGAATTGATTGGAGCTTAATTGAACTTAATCAAACTGAATTGAATATTTTATAAGAGAAGGAAATTAGGACCTAAACTTAACTGATTGGAGCTGAACTGAATTAAACTGAACTGATTGGAGCTGAAGTGAATAGGCCCTTGGGCATGTTCTGATTTACTGAACTAAACTGAGTTGAACTAAATTAATTATAAAAGAAGGAAATCAAGAACTGAACTGAATTAAAATTAAGCTGAAGAGAACATATCCTCAATGAGCTCAGATAAGATTTTGCCAAGGTAATTTTTTATGGAATAAATAATAACATATGATAGATTTGAAAATGGTAAATATTGTGCGAAAATATGTTTACTTACATTATACTGAGTAATCTTCAGAGTTATCCCTAAAGTACACATGTCGCATTTACAATAAAAAAAATTCCCGCCAAATTTTTTTTCTTTTTTTTAAAAAAAAATAAAAAGTTACAATAATTTATAAAAATATATTAAATTATCTATTTAACAAAAGAGATTTAAGGGTAGATTCAAATTCTAAAAAAAAAAATGTTATATAACTCATTCCATTTAAGCTAACTTTATTTTAAGGAAAAAATTAGAAATAATAATCTCAACTTTCATTGATTTTGTTTCAATAATCCCGACTTTGGATTATTCCAGAATAATAATCTAAATTTTGGAGGTTCCTCTTTTTCTTCAATCCCTAACCGGTCAATGAAAGTCAATGACCTATTATATCAGGTTCTGATTGGTCCACATATTGTTTTAAAAAATCAGAAAAACCACTGCCACCCTAACCTCCACCACCACTGCCAGTTCGTTGGACCACCGCATCAACTCCATTCCACGAAACATAACCACCACACGCAACCACCAAGGGAACCATCCCACGTTACCACCCCACGCAACCACCAAGGCAATCCATCCCCCACTCCTGAAAATCCCAAATCCCAGCCAAAATCGACCAACACCGCCCACCACAGAGTATTTCCCTATCAACATCTGCCCCGCACCACAACCTCGATCCCAACAACACCGATTTCATCCCACCAGCGCTTTTCTAGTGATCTCAAAGTAAAGGAAGGGAAAGGGAGGTTTAAGGGATGGGGGTGGGTTGCAGCACCGCCGCAGGGGGAGGGGGAAAGACGGCGCAGGGGAAGGGGAATAAGCGTCTTAGTGGGAGGGGAATATAACAGCAGCCAGAATTTGGGGTTAGGCTGGTGGTTTTTGGGGTTTGGCTAGTGGCCGAAATTGAAAGGGGTTTTAATTGGTGGTCGAGGTTGGGGTTTCAGGGAGGGGGATGGTTGTTTAAAGGGTAGTGGACGAAACAACGACTTTAGTGTTGGGGGAGGGTCGGAGGTCTGACGAGGGAGGTGTTTAGTTGAGCGGGTTGTCGGATTGGCTGGGTGGTTGGGGCTTTGGCTGGCTGCTGGGTTTTTTTTTCAATATTTTTAACAAATTAATTTGTGACACGTGTCACTTTAACAAAAAAAATAACTCATTCAACCGGTAATCGGTATTTGGGATTGAAGAAAAAGAAAACCCCCCTAAAGTTCGGATTATTCCAGAATAATCTAAAATTGGGTTAATTAAGAAAAATTAATGAAAGTTGAGATTATTATTTCTATTTTTTCCTATTTTAATTGACTTTAACTTTATGATTTTGAAATCTTATTATTATAAAACCGTGCATGGCACGAGGGCAAAAACTAGTGTTGTACTACATTTCTACGTTATATGGGATAAGATTATATTAGATTAATTGATGTACTCCCTCCGTCTCTTTATTAGAACTCTATTACTAATATCACAAACTATTGGGTGCGGGCACCCACACCCAACAGTTCGTGCAGGAGGAGCAACGATGACGATGAAGACGACAATGGTGGATGAAGACAAAAATGGCGGATGACGATCGGAAAATGGTGGTGGAATGAGGCAGGGGAGTTGGAGGTTTGATTGGTGATGGTCGTGGTTTGTTGTTGGTGGAGTTGCGATTAGGAGAGAATGGAGGAAAAGAGAGAAAAAAGTGCGACAAAAGAAGTGGTGTTGGTGGGTTTGTTGGGTCGATGGTTGGCGGGTGCAGTGGGAGTGGTGGTGTTTACAGTGGGTCAATGGTTGGTGATTGGTGGTGGGAGTGGGCGTGAGAATTTGTGGCGTGAGGAGCTGCTAAAACAAACATATCAGCCACATAAAATAAGTTTGTACATAGAGGAAGAGGAAGAGGAAGAGGAAGAGGAAGAGGGGGAAAAAGGAGAAAGAAGGAAATCAAATAAGTTTGTATATTAGCCATTACACTGAACTTATAAGCCAATAGCATTAGGGACATATAAGACATCAATAAAAACGTGTTAGCCAACAAAAGATATATATCAGCCAACAAGAAGAATACATCAACTAATAAGAGGAATATATTAGCTAACAAAAGATACTTATCACCCAACCAACGAAACATATCAGTCAACAAATGAAGCATATCAGCTAACAAAAAGATAAAATCAGTAAACAAAAGCAACAGGTAAACCGACAAAATAAATATATCAGCCAACAAAATGAAATATATAAGCCAACAATTAAAATATACATATCAACCAACAAAATAAATATATCATCTGACTAAAGAAACATATAAGTCAAATGATGTTTGATATCAGCCAACAAAAGGAAAAAAAAACAATTATCAGCCAACAAAAGGAATATATTAGCCAACACAAAAATCATACTCCCTCCGTTTTTTTATATGCATAACGTGCATTTACACGGAGTTTTAGGAAAGTTATTTGCTTTAATATTATATTGTGCGAGTGGGGCAAGTGGATGATTAATTTATTTTGATAAAAGTACAATGTGGGTCATGAAATAGATAGTATGTGAGAGAGAATGATTTATTTAATAATATAAATGGGGACCATGAAAGAGAGTGAAATGATAAAATATTTTGAGTGGGGTATTTGAGAAGAGAGAGAGATAATAAAATATAGTATAAAGTTACCAAATATAAAAGTGATGCATATATAAAAAAAACACTCCTAAATACAAAGTGATGCATATAAAAAAAACGGAGGGAGTATCAGCTAACAAATGAAACATATCAACCAACACATGAAACATATCAGCCAACAAGTAAAACATATTAATTAAGTCATCAGCACGGAAATTAGCGTGCAGGCATCTGCACGCAATAGCTTCTCTTCTAATATTTATTCCTCACATAATAAAGAGAAATAGGCTTCTAATTTAGGGACAGAGGGAGTATTTTTTTTTTTAATTTTTTTTTATAAAGTAGGTTATCATTGTTTTATAATTAGAAATAAAATAGTTACATAGTGCACAAATTACAAAATTATAATTAAGAAAGTTTATATTTTTTTACAACTTGGACTTGGATTGATCTTTCATATTCTTGTTGCCTTTTAAAATTGAGTTGTATTTGTTAAAAAAAAAATGAGTTGTATTATACTATATAAATAATACAGAGTAATATATGTTTTGGATTTTATAAGTATTGCGTTGGATATATCTTTACGTTTTTGTTTTTTACTATGGACATGTCAAAATTTTACATGTAGTA